ATAATATTTCATTTATATTGTTTCATACAGTCATTCATATACATTCTAATTTACAGTTTTTCAATTGGTTTGCTTACAAAGTTTTATACATTGTCTTTCACACTATTCTTCATTCACAGTGTGTTTCATAAAATATATCTCATACATTATATTTTATAAAATCAATCACCACTGGACTTTGCCCATCATTACCCTGTCTTTTCCCCTGGATCCTTTCCATTTGCTTCCCACCCCTCCCTCCATCCACCAAATGGTGCAGCCCTGTGGTTTCACCCCTACCCATCCTCATCCTTTCACTCCCCCTGCCCCCTACTTAAATTCCTATACATATTTTACTAGTTGTCCTTCTATTTTTACAATAATGGTCTTATGCCAACAGACTCATGAAAAAATGCTCAAAATCACTGGCAACAAGAGAGACCACAATGAGATACCATCTCACTCCAGTAACAGTAGGCAAAGGTTAGTAGGGCAACAATCATTAGATATTGGGAGAGGATGTGGAGATGTGGGAACTCTCATTTGATTTTCTTTACTGCATAAAATACAAGATACAAGATGCTCCAACTAATTTAAACTTTAAGGAAATAAAAGCTATCCTTGATGAAAATGAGACTTTCATTCATTTTCCATTTTTTAAAATGAAAATTATTTTTATTTTATTTTCTTCTCAACAACATTGATTTTATTAAAGGTGGGTGATGATAACAAGTTTCGATTTAAGTCTAACGAAAGAAAACTAACCTGAGTAATTTAATTATAATGCTTAATTCTAAACATCTTTTTTACCATTGAAGTACTTGTATTTTCAAAATTTATTATAAAATCTTGATTTAATCAACTGACCCTCAGTTTTCCTTATCATGGAGGTATAAAATAAGACAAGGAAAAGAGTACAGAATAAGAATGGGAGAAAAACTACAAGAACCTTTTGGGAAAGAACCACAGTATGTTGTTGTTGTTATGTGGCGTCGAGTCGCTTGAGACTCATAGCGACCCTATGTACAACAGCCCTAAACTCCGCTCTGTCCTGTGCCAATCGCACTGTCTCTGACACTCCCATCCCGATTATCCCAG